AGAAGGGAGGAAATGTGAGCCTGTAAATTGGACATGATGGGTTTCAGATGTGCCGTGTTTGTGTGCGTGCACATGTGCTGCCACTTGTTTATTTTCAAGTTAAAGCAAAGCCTCGGCCCCTCCTCTCCTTCTCTTCCCCCCCCCCTCTCTCTTCCCTTCAAAAGTATTTTATTTCCTCGCAGAGAGGTTGGGGGGGGTGTTATTTTTCGGATGGGAAATTCTGGGGGAAGGTAACGGAGTTGTGTCTTCTCTGTTTAAATGCTCAGCTCGAAAGGGGCTGGGTCCACTCTTTCTGGAGCCGTGCGAAGATGTAACCTCAGTAGCGCCGATTCATCAGGCTTTTTTTTTCCCTCTCCCTCCCCAGCTCCAACGAGCTATTAAACTTTTGCTCCCACAGGTTATTTTGTCACGGTTTGAAATGGGTCCAAGCTCTCTGGCGCGTTATTTTCGCAGGAGTTGGACACTTGTGTTCCCCACGCTCTGCTCTTCTGTGTCCTGGAAACCTTTCGCTGCCTTTAGGAGCTGTTTATTTTCAAAGTAAAAACGGGACCTAAGAGTTCCCCCAGAAGGGTGTGCGCAGCCCAGAGGGAGGAGAAGTCCCTTCTAGTCATAGAAGGGTGAGCTTTAGTCCCCGGCACATCCGTCTGGGCTCGGTGACATGCCACCCAGTGAGGGCTGGTGTTGGCAGGTGACTTGGGGAAGGGAGAGCTGGGGTTCAAAAGAAAATAACTTTCTGTTGGGTTCCTGTGCCGCGCGCTGCGCCCTCGTGGCCCTTGGAGCGTGCATCTTGCTTTTTGAGATAAGCAAACGTGCCGCCAAGATAGAAAGAAACCACTGTGTGAGTGTCGGGGCTGTCCTGGGTCACCCGCTGGGCTGGTTGTCCTGCCTCTTGGAGAAAAAAGATGGGGACAAGCGGTGGTGGAACCAGCAGCACCCACTGTCCTGGTGCCGGGGGGGGGAAGTGCTGAGGTTCGGTCGCTCTTCTGCACCCGAGCGCTGAGGTTTAGCAATGGGAAATAAAACTTTTTCTGCAGCTGGGGCTTGTAGCTGTCCCGGCAGGGCTGTGGGTCCACTGTGTGGGGGTCTTTCAGTCCCCTGAAGAGCAATTCTCCTGCAGGAGGAGAAGCCCAGTTCTCTTCTGTTGGGAGGCCAGTTCTGTTAAATTGGCAGCGATGTATTTTTACAGTAGGGTGTTCACAGTTGGTAGAGGGAGAGCAGGAACGGGGTGGGTACAAACACAGGGCTTGCTGGGGGACAGTGTGTGGTTGCTTGTCCTTCTCCCACCTCGGAGGTCCTGAGGGTTGGTCATTTGTCTTTCTCCCACCTCAGAGGTCCTGTGGGTTGGTTGGTTGTCCTTCCCCCACCTCAGAGGTCCTGAGCGTTGTTCGTTTGTTCCTCTCCCACCTTAGAGGTCCTGCGGGTTGGTTGGTTGTCCATCTCCCACCTTGGAGGTCCTGAGGGTTGGTCGTTTGTCCTTCTCCCACCTTGGCCTTGGAGGTCCTCTGGGTTGGTTGTTTGTCCTTCTCCCACCTTGGCCTTGGAGGTCCTGAGGGTTGGTCATTTGTCCTTCTCCCACCTCGGAGGTCCTGCGGGTTGGTCGTTTGTCCCTCTCCCACCTTGGACGTCCTGAGGGTTGGTTGTTTGTCCCTCTCCCACCTCAGAGGTCCTGAGGGTTGGTCATTTGTCCCTCTCCCACCTTGGAGGTCCTGAGGGTTGGTCGTTTGTCCCTCTCCCACCTTGGACGTCCTGAGGGTTGGTTGTTTGTCCCTCTCCCACCTTGGACGTCCTGAGGGTTGGTTGTTTGTCCTTCTCCCTCCTTGGCCTTGGAGGTCCTGAGGGTTGGTCATTTGTCCTTCTCCCACCTCGGAGGTCCTGCGGGTTGGTCGTTTGTCCTTCCCCCACCTTGGAGGTCCTGGGGGTTGGTCGTTTGTCCCTCTCCCCCCTCAGAGGTCCTGAGGGTTGGTCATTTGTCCTTCTCCCACCTCGGAGGTCCTGCGGGTTGGTCGTTTGTCCTTCCCCCACCTTGGAGGTCCTGGGGGTTGGTCGTTTGTCCCTCTCCCCCCTCAGAGGTCCTGAGGGTTGGTCATTTGTCCTTCTCCCACCTCGGAGGTCCTGCGGGTTGGTCGTTTGTCCTTCTCCCACCTTGGATGTCCTGTGGGTTGGTCGTTTGTCCTTCTTCCACCTCGGAGGTCTTGTGGGTTGGTTGGTTGTCCTTCCCCCACCTCAGAGGTCCTGAGCGTTGGTCGTTTGTCCTTCTCCCACCTTGGATGTCCTGCGGGTTGGTCATTTGTCCCTCTTCCATCTCGGAGGTCCTGAGGGTTGGTTGTTTGTCCTTCTCTCACCTCAGAGGTCCTGTGGGTTGGTTGTTTGTCCTTCTCCCACCTCGGAGGTCCTGCAGGTCGGCATCTTTGAGCCATCTTGACATCAGAGCTTTCCATCTCCTGCACCCCACAGTGCCGGGTTTTGGGTCAGTAACGCATAATCTGCTCCCTGGCCAGGGCTGCAGTGGCTCCCCCTTTGCTTTTTTCTCCCCCATAGGAAAAAAAAAAATCACATCCCACTCATGGTTTAGAGCTTTAAAAAAAAAAAAACCCAAGACTTTATTTTCAAATTTAACGAACCATCCTCATTTGCATGCTCAGCACTGTATTCCCTGGAGGGGTCCTGACCTGTTCCCTCTATACACGAATTTTTCTGCTCTTGGAGATGAATCTACACCGAATGGTTGAATTTGGGTTCAATTCCAATGCTCTTAACGCTGGTATGAACCTGGGAACGGGCAGAACGTGTTGGTGTGAGGCTTCTGTGTTTCAGCAGCGGCACCGGGGGCGGCTGCGCTGCAGGGTGAGGGCCTGCAAATGTCATTTGCCAGCGAATGACTCGAAGACGTTCCCTCCAGGATAAGTTGGCCGATGGGCTCCGACGCAGCCTGGATCTGAGCCAGGGCTGTTTCACAAACCCTCATCTCCGCACACGCACACCCTTCGCCGGAGTTTGCATAAAGGGGAAGAACGAACATCTCTCCTGAAGGATGAGTCGCTGAAATGGGAACCTTCCTGGCTGGTAGATGGTCTTCACCCCGGCATCGGGGGCTGTCGTGCACAGCGTGGGGCTGTCGGAGGGGCTGTGCCATGGGTTGCTCTCCCCGTGTCATTGGGATGCAGGTTTTTTTGACCACGATGGCTTTTTAAAGTATATTTATATTTTTCTTTGAATAAGCAGGAGCATTGGGTCCGCTAATCCTCTCTAGGAGAGTAGATGGGAGGGAAGAGCGGAGAGAGAGATTCGGAGCCACTGGAAGCGTTTGCTTCAGATCAGTGTTTTGATGGCTTTTTCTCTAGGAAAAATATGTTCAACCCTGGCAGCCCCTGGCCCATCTCTGTGCTGTGTTTTGCTGCTGCCCAGTGGGAGAATTTTAAGGTCCATCCCTAATGGGGTTGTGTGGTCAGACGTGAGTTCGGGGAGTCAGTAGTCACACAGGTCGTGTGAGATGCTATAAATTGGGCTGACAGTCCTGGAAAGAAAGACTTGTACCTTCTGTATTAAATAAAGGCATTGGATAGTTACTGAGCTCGCCCAAAGCTTTGTGCCCATGTAATTTTTGCCAATAAAGGCGAAAATCAAAGGAATCTGTATCGTGCATCCGAGCGAGCCGGAGCCAACCCCCCCTGATGCCTTGCCATGGCTGCGTTGGGGTGTGCGCGGCCGCGCGTTCTCTCTGCCTCCCGACAAATTGCCTGTTATAATTGCCCCAAAGTACAGGTAATTTCTGAGCTCTCTTTCACCACCGCTCCCTGGCAGTAGTCCAGGACGGGCTGGCGAATCCGGAGGAGAGCTTTCCAGAGAGTATCCTGCTGAAAAATGGGAGTTTGTTGGCTTCAGCTATTTATTGGGCTCGGGTTTGGGTGCGTTATCCCTTGGCTTGGGGCTGCCAGGCTTTGAGGGGCACGGGCTGTGTATGATGAAGCATCCTGCCGAAAAATGGGAGTTTGTTGGCTTCACCTATTTATTCTGCTCGGGTTTGGGTGTGTTAGACCTTGGCTTGGGGTTGCCAGGATTTGACGGGCACGGGCTGTGTATGATGGGAGATGCTCGGCTGCGAGGACTTGCCGTGGTCATCCCGGGTGGTATCTCAGCCATGTGGGCTGGGTATCCCGGCCGGGCAGCACCGGGAGAACCGGGATGGAGCAGCAGGAATGGGGATGAGGGTGTTGGTGCCACGGAGCGCGCCTGCCAAGCTCGATAGAGGCAGGCGGCTGCGTGCCAGCCTGGGTCCCTGGCAGAAGCGAGATGCTGTTAACAGCCATGATTATTAGCAGAGTATTAACCATATGCTGCGGGGATGCTGGTTGTCAGGGTGGGTTTCCAGCTCGTTGAAACGTGGCGGGGTGGGCAGGGGCTTGAGCAGTCACACGGGACCTGCCGCCTCGTTTCTCGGCAGGCGACCGCGTGCCAGCCCTGGTGGCTCCAGCCATCCAACCCGGGGACAAAAGCCGACCCCTTCCCGAAAAGCGGGGCTGGAGTGGGCTCCTCCTGCCAGGCTGGAGGATGCTGAAGCCCTTCCCTGCTCCGGCCAAGGCCCAGCGCCTGCGCTTCCATGATAAACCGCTCGCTTTTGTTCAGGGTGAAGCGGTTGTAAAGTTTGACTTGAGGCCACGGTGGATGTTTGGGGCCTGCAGTCAGGAAGGTCTGTCTTAAATGAACACGTCTAAAATATCCTGCTGGCCATGTATTAGTGAGTCGAATTCCCTCTTCTCCCCGAATTAGCAGCTGGATACTTTCCACGCTGCAAAATAGATTTTGGGTTTTGAGTTCAGGCCCGAGGTTGGTTCAGCCTGAGGTTCATAAGGTGGGAGAGCGGAGGAAGTGAAAACAGCTATTTAATTTAAAAACACTGATGCACTGGTAGAAGTACACCAGAAATGAAATGCTGCTTGATATTGTTAACTCATGTCTGGCA